AAATACCAAACAGATCATGCATTTTAGCCATGCCTCATTTCGCTCTATGTGCTGTTTGCTGTCTACGGGTCTGATTCTGCTGACCACGCCCCCCTGCAGGAGAGGGGAGACGTGCTCTGATCAGCTGCTGGGCTGTCAGAAGAGGGGGAGAAAAAGAGATCTCCGTGTTTTATTATATAGAGTCGTTATTCATTTGTTTTAAAGCTCAATAAATAACAAAGAAGGCCTTTGACCGGCACTTTTCTAATTTTGTCCGGAAGATTTAAACTTTAACGGACATCTTGACCGGCGAAACAAACTGAAACTGAAACTCTGCCGCACGGTCCCCTCGTTCCTTGGAAGAGGCGGAGAGGTGGGTGTTTGTCATCTGCTGGTGGACTAACCGGAGAGAATTACAGTGCTTGCCTCGACGGGGAGGGATTGCATTGCAGCGGGAGCAAACGCTTGCCTCGGGGAGGGAGAAAGAAAGCCACAGCGGAGAATAAACAGAAGGGTAACCATGGTAACCAAGTCTTCTTCACTGCTTTTGTGGCAGACTACAGCGCCACTTACAGGCCTGGCATATGTACTACAGCGTCTCCAGCGCTTTCGAACGGCAATGGCAGTGGCTGTCTCCTCCTGATTGGTGGAGTTGGCCCAATAGCCGTAGCGCCACCGTCCTGACGTCAGACAGTTTTCAAATCTGGATCAGTTTTGATCAGATCCGTTGCAGCCCCTTTTTTAGAGATTTGGGTATGGAGGAAAATAGAGAGGGTTGTGTTTTCTGACACTTGGTGAGTTCCCTGGAACACCGGGGACACATATTCATGTATAAAAGACGTACAAAAGTGCATTTTGCATGATAGGTCCCCTTTAAACAGCTAACATTAAGAAGCAAAAATGCTAGATTGATGCAACATAGCTGAATTAGAGATAGCTGGCTAACCTTTACGGTAGGGTGACCAGATGTCCCGCTTTGCGCGGGACTGCACAGCATTTTCACGACTTTTGGTGCGTCCCGCAAATTGAGACGATGTCCCGCATATTTCATTTTGATGAAACGCTTTTCTAAAATCAGATTTATCCAATGGCTGTTGAGAAAGCAGGGAAGGCTATCATCACGGAGCTGTGTTTGCTGTCAATCAAACTGTAAGACACGGCGGGTGCTGGTCAAGTGTTAACCAATGAGAGTAACTCACTCACACACACACCGCCGCGGCCCCGCCAAACAACAACAATGAAAGTCAATAACGTTGGTTATGGAAAATGGAGGAAACTGAAACTACAGCTAAGAAAAGAAGAAGATGCACATACAACAAAGACTGGGAAGACATTTACCACCTCGGTACCGCAAATAATCACCGCTAGTACATTTTCAACGGGGGGGGGGGGTGTTGGGACCTGGTCACCCTACTTTACGGTGGCCCTGAAGTGCAAGTCAAAACAACATTTCACAAAACACTACAGCATTTCATAAAACACAACGACATTTCAAAAAACACTACAGGATTTCACAAAACACTACAGCATTTCAGAAAACGCTACAGCATTTCACAAAACACTACAGCATTTCACAAAACACTTCAACATTTCAACTTTTACGGAAAGGGTATTCCTTTAAGCCCCTGTCACACTGTCCCGAAATTGACACCAGATGGACACACGATAAAGGAAATGTTCAAATTCGGCTCTGATCGTAACAACATCGGGCCATTCGTGAGGGCATCTTAAGCCATCGTATGACACCAGCAGCAACTTCGTGAGCGGTGGCAAAATCTTTGGCATGCCAAAAAATTGCCGAAGGACCTTGCGAAGGTTCAGTTTCGTGTTGAATTCGTGTGTCCATTTTGCCCTTCGTAAGGCACTCGTGAGGGCATCTTGTCAAATCGTATCATCTTCGTCTGATCATCGGTGCCATCGGGCATTTTTCGCCTCACGAAGACAATACGAAGGAAACGAGAAGCTGCCCGATTGTCTTAGGAAGGCAACACGACTACGTGAAGCCCTCACAATGCCGTCGTGTAGCCATCGTATTATAGTACGATGACATAGAGATTGCATTTATTGCACAACAAAATCATGTAAACAGATTATGTAAATAACCCAATTTGTGTTCTGTGAAACTGAAAAGGATATTACATTGTTTTTGTTACTTTCGTTGCAGTTGTATGTCTTAAATGTAATTTAGGTTAACTTCCTGTTTTATTTAGATGCTTTTATTTTGAAGGCGAGTTTACGCTGTTGACAGGAAGTTGTTGTTTCTATGGAAACAACATGACGGAGATAAGTAATATCTTCTAATCTACATATAAAGACGGAGAAAGTAAAGAATAAAGTGTATGTTTAAATGTTAGCACCCCCCGAAGAGGCACAAGCTCTTACGTTGAGTCTGGATACATTCTAAATCATCAGTAAAGTCTACGACCATATATCAAAATGAACATAATTTACCGTGATTCAATTGTAATACACGTTTAAAAAATGATGCCGAAGTAACAACATACTGATACCGGTTAGTGAAAACCATGAATTAATGCTTTGACAAGTGTGCAGACAAGACGGCAGGCGAAAAACCTTTTAAAATGCGTGTTTTCTGAATGGAGATCGGATCGATCAGGCTAAACTAACCTGTAGCTGCTCCGTCCACACTCACAACAACGTCATACAGACAGAAAAAAAGCAGCGACTGTATTCGCCATTCACCGTTGTCAGACAGTCTGTGTTTTGTACATGTTTCTGAACATATATGAGGAGCTGTGAGCTCTGTGTGCTAACAGCTAACGGCTGATGTTTTGGGACATGTTGCGCTGTGGGGTGCTGACCAATCACGAAGCGTAATTTCTTGACTGGCAGCAAAAATAACCAATCACAGCAGTGCTTCTCTGGTTGGCTCTGTCCAATCCCTAAAGGAATACCCTATCCGTAAAAGTTGAAATGTTAAAGTGTTTTGTGAAATGCTGTGGTGTTTTCTGAAATGCTGTAGCGTTTTTGAAATGCTGTAGTGTTTTCTGAAATGCTGTAGCGTTTTTGAAATGCTGTAGCGTTTTTGAAATGCTGTAGCGTTTTCTGAAATGCTGTAGCGTTTTCTGAAATGCTGTAGTGTTTTATGAAATGTTGTTTTGACTTGCACTTCAGGGCCACCATACAGTAAACCTTAGCTTTTATGCTCGCTAACGTTATTGCAAACATAAGGTCGTATATATTGGTTGGCTAGCTTGACTTCACCAGCGAGCTGGATCCATGATACTAACTTGTATGATAAAAAATATGTTGATTTTAGCAGACGGTATGCAACGATAAAAAGAAAATGTGTATAATTAATGATTGCTTTCTATTTGCTGCGGCGGCCAGCTAGCCAACTGTAACTTAAGCTTAGCTAAGATTAGCTAGCTAGCTGTTATTTAGCTACACGGCAATGGATCTTGCATTGATTACATCCTAACGAAAGTAGATAGAATAGTGGAGCCAATGGTCGAACAGTAAATTACATTATTCTAAATATGAGATTAATTCAATCTAATCTCACAACTCTATTTCGGTCAGATGCAATGGTGAGAGCAACAGTTTACTGTATGCAGTTAACTTAACGGCCACCGGTGTATTTCATTGCAAAGATTTTCTGAAATTCACACATTTTACCTTTAACTTCCATAGTTTTATAATGGGGATCAGTCTTGCCTCCTCAGGTCCTCCATCAGGTTGCCAGGCAGTACTTAAAGGTGTATTTCATGATATTAAGTGGCCGCTGATTGTAGGAAATGATACACTATGAAGCTGTCCAATCACCTAGGAGTCAAGCTATCATGATTAGCTCCTACATCAGCCACATGAAACACCATGATAACTACCTCATTGCTGTGATAGTTAGTATGCACCACATGCACAATCATATGGTAGCACTGTGCCACTACAAGAATAAAACATGCATATTTCACCTGTCTGATAGCAGTTGAGTATGCAGTGAGAGAATAAAGTACCACACCAGCCCTTAAGGTCTTGATGATGACTTGCTGGAGGTACTTGTAACCTATTGGCCAATCACCAAGAAGGATATACTGTAACATATAACATGTAGATACTGTCTCATAAGGATACATTCGTAGTTTGCCAACAATATTTTCTCTTAGCAACTGAAGCACTTTAAGTATTTTTATGGATAAGGAGCAAGAGATGGAAGAACATTTACTTTTTCAATGTTTTAAATAAATAGTTTGACATTGTGAAAAAAAGGAGCTTCAGTCAGGAGAGGAGTCCAAAGATCATCAAAAAATGTGCCTACCAACATCTCTAAAGCTCTTGGATCTAATTGTAATCATGTAACATGACTTAAGAGGCCACATTTTGTCAGGATGGATTAAATGTATAGCACACTGTTGCAGGTGTGACACTTCAACTCTCAACTTTATTTTGTACCCAGAGGACATTTGTTTTTTCAGCAGTGCATATTTCAATATATGAAAGACTGCAGTACAGTGAGGGGGAGGGAACGTGTCCTAAACACAAGTGGGCTAGAAGTGCAACAGTGGTGACCAGTGTGCAAAAGCACAGCAGTAATAATATCTAGAACTAACGTATTGATTCATACAAAAATATATCCTTAAATCCTTACTTATGCCCTCTCAAGAGGGTTGTGCTGTCTGTATTTCAGAGACCCTGCCTTCTGTTCTTTATTTCTGTGTGCCATATACAAAGACCTAGCAACCAGGTGCTTGATCAAATTCAATCATTCAAAGGCAAGCTATGAAAATGGCCGATGTACTGTAGCTCAGAGAAAAATGCAAATATAGCAAGGCAAAACAAGAGTGAATCAGGGGTTAGCCTTCGAGCACCGTAACCCTCATTTATGGGGAGAGGAGGTGACGACTTTGAATATTTAGTTTACAAAATTAAACTGACACATTCTTCTCACTGTGGCTTTGATTTGCTTAACATTTTAAAAAGGAATATGTGTGATGAAGCAATCAGACCTCGAGTCCTTCAGTCAGTTCTCTTCTAATGTTTTAATTGTGGTGTTTTCCCAGGTGTGTGTCCAGCTTCCTCAGCAGCCGGTACCGGCAGGCGGCTCAGAGCTCCTTCACCGTGCGGGCCAGAGGCTCGGACCAGGACCGGAGGAGAGGGGGCCGCTGGGAGGGGTCTGAGGCCTCAGCAGGGTCAGGTCAGCCTTCATCTGCGGCCTCACCCAGTCAAGTGGACGGAAGGAAAGTGGATATGTTGAAGAGTGGATGCCTCAGCCTTTATTGAACAACTAACAGATGGAGTTTACAGAATACAGCAATCCTATGTGATTAAGCCATTCAAGATATCACATCGGCTTATCAGCATGATATTTATGAGATCTTACACTTCATAACCTATCTGCATGGTGTCAAACATTGCTGTTTTCGTCCATGTCAAAGCCTTGCACTCTTTCTTCAGCGGGTATATTGTCATACTGCAAATTGATCATAAGGAAGCTAATGCACGCAGCCTTCAGAAGTGTGTTCAGGCTCAGGGAGGTAAAAAAAAACGCTGGAATCACTCTCTTTCCTTAATGATGTCCACACAGAGACAATGGGGCGCCGCTCTGATTAGTGTCACCTGTCCTTGTGCATCTCATCAGCTCCATTATGGCTCCATCTCCCATGCTTCTTCTGCTAATTGAATAGCCTGTGAAGTGGTGACGAGGACAGGGGCGAGAGCAGCGTCTGTCCCACTGCTGCTTCACAAATGAGAGTGAAGCTTCCCAGTGAGACACTACTGAGGCTCTTAAAACATAAACCATTATCATACAGATGGAAAAGATGCTAACAAGTAGCCCTCATGTTATATTGTCATATCGTCTACGGATTATGTTATCTGTAACAGCTTTCAATTGGCATCTAGTGTTTGTTTTCAGAGGGCCGATATGCTGCACTGCACATTTCTTTAGTGTATCAGAATGAGTGTTAATATTAGAGGCAGAGGTTTGATATGTTGAAAATATGCCTACTTGGAAAGGAAATATATGTCGTTCAATACTCTGCAGCTGAGCTTGAGTTAGCACAAAGACAAGGGGGAAAAAAGCTTGGTCAATGGTAATAAAAGTCGAACTACTAGGACATCTTTCACTAATAAATCAACAATGCACACCTTGTTCGTTTCATTCATAAAAAATGAGAGTGTTAGAAATGGCAATTCTGTGTTATATAGTATATTTCCAAATTGTCCCCAAAAAATGTTTTTATTGTCAAAATATCCCATAAAAATATGATGGTTCCATTTCTGATCCAGTGGTCACCTGCTGCTTGCGGTTGTGGTTCTTGTTCTAATGTAGAATTGTATATGCATTTGGAGGGACCTTCTGTCAAGGAATCACAATTTAATTTAGTTGGACAATCCCATGACCTCCTGGCCTTAAAGACTGACATACTGTAGAGAAGATAGAAACTGGCCTCCAGTTGTTTGAGAATGGCCACTAACCTCCAAATCTAATGGCGCATTTCCACTACACGGTCGGCCTCGGCCACACTCGGTACGGCTCGGTACGGCTTGGCCGCGTTGGGCCTTAACAGGGCCGACTCACTTCATGCTGCGCTTCCATTACAGTTTAGGAACTGGGGTAGTTACTATAGTAACGCAGTGTAGGCGGAGCCGTGACGTCATCTTCAATGAGAAATCCAGAAACACAACACAGCCGTTAGCTGTGAGCACTCAGAGCTCACAGCTCCTTATATATGTTCAGAAACTCGACAAAAGTTAAACAAGTACACACCACAGACTGCCTGTGTCATGGTGAATACAGTCGCTGCTGTATTTATGTCTGTATAGGCCGTTGTTGTGAGTGTGGACGGTCGGGGCATATACTGCGTTAGCTTAGCCAATCTCCATCTAGAAAAATACGAATTTTAAAAGGTTTTTCGCCTGCCGTCTGTCTGCAGACTTGACAAAGCATTAATTCATGGTTTTTACTAACCGGTATCAGTATGTTGTTACTTCGGCATCATTTTGAAACGTGTATTACAATTAAATCACGGTCAAATATGTCCATCTTGTTGTAGTTCTAGCCCTCTTGCCAGCGCTCCTCTCTCTAGTTTAGCATACTCAGCCCTGTTTGTTGGCCCCGATAGAACCACAATTTTCTAGGGCCAGAAAAGAGGGGAAAAAGTGGCCCCGCGCCGTGCCGCGCCGGAACGAGGCCTAGTGGAAGCACAACCAAAAAAGGGGACGGCACGACACGGCACGCTTAAAGCGAGCTACGCGCTGCAATGGAAATGCGCCATTAGAGATGATTGAGACTGGTCCAAATGACGGTGCTGCAGCAGAGAGGTTGGTGGATCAGTTCAATGATGTCCTCTCCCATTTTGCAGATGCAGCTGTTTTCAGGAGATTTTCCATGAGGTTTCTCTGGGTTTTTACCAATCCTCCAGCAATATATGGACTGTCCCACTTGCTTTACCTGCTCTCTCGATCCTTGCTCTGGAAACATCCTAGATTCCAATTAGGCTGTTTGCAGAACCGCCCCTTTGGAGATCAGACCACTGTGGAATTCACCTCTTGCTTTAACCATTCGGCAGTAGTGGCGCGAATGAAACCCTTCCCCAAAGTACTTTGTTAAAGTGTGGTCTTAGGAACCTCAGAGGAACCGAGAGGCTGTCCAGAGAACACCGTACTGGATGTTTTCTTTAAATCTTGCATAGACGCTCGTTAAAGTCACAGTGTGCCCTCTAGATTTTGTGAAGATGTGTGGAAGACAAAAGGTTTGAGAATCTTCCCAAACAACAAGTCTAGGCATCAAAATAACTGAAATGATGTCTTAAGGCAGAGAAAATGGCGTTCTGCAGTGGTTGCTGTGAGTTCTCTCAGAAAAGAGGACACTCAAAGATAAATAAGATTGCAAGGACAATGGGTAACATGAGAAGCACAGGAAAGCTTAAATGCTCCAATGGGGGTGGCCAGAAAGAAGGAAGAATGCTCCGTCAGTAACAGGCAGTGCTAATGAGCTAAAGGTTTATTACAGTGTGTGTGGTGCCTGTGTGAAGCCAAATAAGCGACCTTGAGGTTATGAAAGGCGCTATATAAATTCAAGTTATTATTATTATTATTATTTTAAGAATATGGCCCAGACGGACTACAGGCACAGGTCCTTAAAGAGCCAATTAAAGGGAGTCTTTACAAGGTAATTCCAGTCACACACAGCGCCCAAACAAGGGAAAATCTCAATCATTGAGGCCGTTCCCCGAAAAACTCTATGATTGTCAACCAATCAACATCACTCCTGTTCTTTGTAAAACCGTCGGCGGTGTTAAAGCTAGTCCTCAAAATACTCAAAATACTCAAGTAAAGTATACTTGTACTTTTCCATTTTATGTTACTTTCTACTTCTACTCCACTACAATTCAGAGGTAAATATTGTACTTTTAATCCACTACATTTATTTAATACCTTTAGTTACTTTGCAGATATACATTAATGATTAACAATATGATCAACACTTAAATAACACTTAGTTGGACCAAATTCATGAAATAAAGTTATTAAAATGAGTTCCTCCTTTACCAGTTTGATAAACACATCAATACATCAATAATTATAATCAAAACATATCATACATATGATTGTGAAATGGCCCAGTTTGCTTAATAAGTACTTTTACCTTTTATACTTTAAGTATATTTAGATGCCAATACTTCTGTACTTTTACTTGAGTAACATTTAGAATGCAGGACTTTTACTTGTAACAGAGTATTCCTACACTCTGGTACTTCTACTTTTACTTAAGTACAAGATTTGAGTACTTCTCCCACAACTGATGGCATGAATGTTGCCCTGCTTTGTGTAATATGTAAGGATTTCATTTTGTGGGTTGTTGTTGACTCATTGATATTGGGGTTAATAGTGGTGTTATTTGTCTTTCTATCTGACAACCATTAGTGGAACAACACCCGACCCCTTCCTTCTCCTGTACACAATCATTTGAGATGAAAGTGAGGGTTTTTAATATGCAGAAGACACAGCCTTAGTTGGCCTTCGTGTCTGGCACGAAACAATTCAATGTTGATTGCACTTAAGATATAATCATTTGTGCCATGCAGGGTTTCAGAAGAAAGCCAAATGTATTTGACATCATCGCACAGACTGACGGCCAATTTAACTGAAAAGATGAACTATATTTAAGAAAATGCACACATGGCTTTATTTCGTTAGAACACAACGAGCAAGTCAGTGAAAAATGTTTACAAAACCCTGTTTGAGAGTGACTGTTTGAACTGCGAGCTGCAGAATGAGATGGAAAGGATAGTTGGCATCGCCAGCGAAATAATTGGGACGCCCCAGCTTTGTGAGCTATGTAGCATCAGGACAACAGCATTCTCAATTTCATATTCAGACCATTAATATACAAGCAAACAACTATTTGCCATGTCAAAAGAGTAAGGGAGGCTTTAACCAAACATTGTTCCAAGAAAGAATTATATTCTAAGTTCAATCAGCATTTTAAAGTTTAAAAACATTACAGATCTTGCCACAAATCTTACGCCACAGTATTTTGTTTAAGGCTTAAAGCTGTTTAAGGTATTTATCTGTCATTTTCTTTGTGAGCACTGTAGTATAAGCTTTACTTTCTCACTGGTATATTGTATCCAGATGTGTTCTTTATAATACTTGTTTTATGTTACCTGTTGTTGTGCCGCTTTAATGTTTTGGTGTGCCACCAACAACTTTGCAGTATGGTGTACAATGCACTTGTATTGTATTCTGTTTTAAACAAAAATGTTCCTTTACAACTACCAAAATACTGATGTGATGGAGAATAAAGACATTTTTAAAGAATATACTCTTTTTTAAACAGCTGTGCATTGTAGTTTTAAGAAAGCTTAACTCTTAACTGTCTTTTCTCCTTTGGGACTATTTTCAGCAGCGGATTAATCCACAGGTGGAGCTTTAGTGAGTAACTGGGGCAGCAGGAGGTGCATGTGGGATATATTCAAATGAAACTGCAGTGTGTGTTCACGGTACTGAAGGAACGTGGCCGGTGTGGCTCTTTCTGTCTTTAATAGTTTGGGAACACATTGAAGCTCTGTGCCACAGAGGAACAAGATACATCTGTGGAAACACAGATACATATTTTGAGCAGAATCACTTCACTTTTGGTTTTGGGCTTCTCATGGGATTTGTTGATAATGAGAATAATAAAGAATATCAACAGCCTTATCCTTTGTGCGTACGGCAAATGTGTTCATGCTCTTGAAAATCCCTGTTGTAATTTATGACATTTTCACGTTGAGATGAATGGCTGAGAGCTCTCCTTGAGACAATTATGCTAAATAATCCAAACACAAACACTCAGACATTATGTCCAAACCATTCACCACGCAATAATCTGATGTCATCATTCGGGTCATTTTGTCCCCCAGTTATACTATCATATGTTTGTTATAAATGTACTGTCAATAAATTATCCTCTAAACTGTGTTTTAATGAAGTTATGATATGAAATATCTGAAAGTCTGCCGTAGACCATCATTGAACTACATGGTTAAAAAACTGTTGGTACAAATGAAAAGGGGGACAGGTCTCTGTTTGATGTTTGCACTGACTCCTCTCCAGGTCTGTGTGTTTAGTCAAAGAACATACATAAGATATTTTCCAGATCTGCAAAGAAAACCTTGAAATATAATGAGCCTTTTATTTTGAGTGGATAAACAGTGGCAGCTGTGATGCAGGGTGGTGTTGGTGCTCTGCTGCAGCCGGAGCTCTGCTGCCTGAGCCGAGGACGCTAATGTGGAGGATCCTGCTCCCTGTGCAGCTCATCCTCTCACCCCCCTCCGTCTCACCCCTCTCCGTCTCTCCATCTCACCTCTCCATCTCTCCTCTCCGTCTCAGTGGTCTCCATCTCACCCCTCGGTCTCACCCCTCTCCGTCTCACCTCTCCGTCTCACCCCTCTCAGTCTCACCTCTCCGCCCCTCCGTCTCACCTCTCCGTCTCTCCTCTCCGTCTCACCTCTCTCCGTCTCTCCTCTCCGTCTCCCCTCTCTGTCTCACCTCTCCGTCTCACCCCTCCGTCTCACCCCTCCGTCTCACCTCTCCGCCCCTCCGCCCCTCCGTCTCACCTCTCCATCTCTCCTCTCTGTCTCACCTCTCTCCGTCTCTCCTCTCCGTCTCCCCTCTCTGTCTCATCTCTCCGTCTCACCCCTCCGTCTCACCCCTCCGTCTCACCTCTCCGTCTCACCCCTCCGTCTCACCTCTCCGTCTCTCCTCTCTGTCTCCTCTCTGTGTCTCCCCTCTCCGTCTCCCCTCTCTGTCTCATCTCTCCGTCTCACCCCTCCGTCTCACCTCTCCGTCTCACCCCTCCGTCTCACCTCTCTGTCTCCCCTCTCCGTCTCACCCCTCCGTCTCACCTCTCACAGCAAAGTGACTCTCAGCAGTGCGCCACCTCAGCCCTTTCTATAGACACCACAGAAGAAGTCCAGCAGTATCCCCCCCACTACCTGCT